TTACATCATGATCATTTGCCATCACACTTTCTTGTGGAAGTATCGTGGTATTTTTGAGTCCTATAAAGCTCTCGAACCCACACGACACCAGTTTGCAGGGACTAGATGAATAGTATTTTTAAATATTTAACTTAAATACCCACATGTGTAAAAACTAGTGGGTAACAGAAATTTGAATACCAAGATAGAATTACTGATACCCAATGATTTTAAAATGCATGGGTAAAATACCCACAACACCAAAAGCTTATCTGGAGCTCTGTGTCTCTTAGAAAAATCTCTCAAAGAAGTGACGTGATGTTGGGGACAATGAATATATGTCAAAGTGAATGTTTTTGTATCTGCTCCTTAATTAAATAAACAAGAATCTCATGGACAGAAATTAATGGGAAGAGGCGCAGACATGTAAACCAAGCTGAATTTCAATCAGGAGGACGTTAAACCTCGACAGACTTACATCAAGACGTCTCCTTGTTTGCCGAGAACCAATTCTAAAATAAAGTGATGATGAACCCCAGTCATGAATCTTAGACATTATCAATTACCGGCCAGCCATAGCTCCATAGTACCTACATAATGCTGTGACCAGTGCCAGACTTGGGATGAAACACAGCGTTAGCGGCTGCCTGGAAGATGTCTTTGAATATTCAAACTAGTTCCTTATGATGACAATAGAGGCTTGAAGAATGTCAGGTTCACAATTCTTGGATGTGGAATATGTATTGTCCAAGCTCCGTGGCTCGTTCGGATAATATCTCGAGTTATGAAGTTAAAATTCTTTTAACTTGATCAAGTAGTATAGAGATACGATGTAGTCGTGCAGGGGCTATTCTCAAATGATTCCTTGCATGCAATGGATTTTTTCAGTGATGAAGATGAGCATCTAGTCTTATTCAGGCAGAAAATTAGTGTCCGATTTCTGGGATGATTGAATGAACAGCATTATGTCTGAATGTCGGTGCCAGCCTCGTCCTTGTCATACAGAATTGTAGATCCAACTGTTGCCCAGAAAGTTATCTTAATTTAATGCTGAATGTACAGTTTCCACAAGGATTGGTTAAGTCAGGGAGCGTGCAGGAATTGTGGACGTTACACGTAAAGCTATGTCGCTAATTATGTTGGAGGTAAGTGGGGATTTTATCATGTCTCGGAGGACCTGTTTATCACAATCTGTTCTGTTCGTATTGACGTGAACTTTATTTTGGTGATATATGTAACTTAGAATTTGATGTCAGGACCTGTCTTTGGTTACGAACTGATCTGTAGTGTATTATATCAATCAACTACTAAACTCCAGCACATCTTTACCATACTGTCAGTATAGAAGGACACACTGCAAGGAGCTCAAATAGGCCATAGAATCACTTGCAATTTATTTATATATCGCAATATATCAGACACATTTAATCCTGATACTCATTCTGATATGTCACCACTTGAATTTTGTCGGTGCATTCAGAGCAGACGGTCATGAAGCTATATGGTTGAAATGATTTTGTTTGAATGGCAGATTTGTATTTTTTTCCTTTTGTAAATGTTTTATGCATTGAAATTCTTAGAAATAAGTAACAATTACTGTATTCGACGTAATAAGCACCCTGCTCTAATAAGCGCCCACGGCGATATTTGCTAATATATTGGCTAGTGAACAATCCCAATTAGCACCCCTTCCGATTGATCAATGTACACAAAACTTATTTATTCGTGTACAATATGCACTTGTGTGTTATATGCACCCTTAATTATGGGCAATTAAATTCTGGAAAAAAATATCTGTCGTATATAGACATTTCAGGCTGTCAGTATAAACCACAAAATGTATCTTTCAACTCTGTTTTTTTCACCAAAATAATATTCTAATAAGAGCCCCCATATTTCTAATTTTGAGAGCGTACTGGATGCTTATTACGTCAAATACAGTATGTAAGATAATTTAGAGAATGCCTGCGTTCTGTTTACAAGGAAGGGGATTTGAATATGCTAACAAATGAAAGGGGTTTGTTAAATTGTGGTCTGTGAAGATGATTTGTAGCAACCATGTCGTTTAATGATGAAACTTGTTAAGAATTGCTATGAATTAATATTCTGCTTTGAATGTTGTTAAATACTTAATCTACCATGAATTTTGAAAATATTCAATTTTGATTGATCAATCAGAGGTATCAAATCAAAATAAACCCAATCTGACTGTTACAGCTGATTTGACAGCTGCATCACTGTGGAAGCTAATAGTTTTAGAATAGTATTTCTTTTACAGTCATTGACCGTAGGCATGTCCAAATAATAATATTTACGTGTATAGGCTACAAAATCAAGGTTGCAGTTACTGCAATATTTAAAGGACGTGTTACAATACATTTCGACAGAAAATATGATAGAAATCTACTAAGAATATGTATTTCAAGTTTTGAGGACAACAGAGAGCTTCCTATTTTGTGTTTTTCCATATATGAAGGTCATGTGATATTTTTTCATCTCATTGAGTAATATGACGTCATAGTTGTGATGTGCGGTGTAAAACAAAACCTTTGCAAGGCTTGCTTAGTTTTCTTTAAGGGTGCCCACCTCATGTTAGCTGATACGTTGCTGTGATACAAGCTTCCAGTGCCTGTCATAAGTTTGACTGAAGTATTACGATGTAAACAACTGCGGAGCATATAGAGAGCACCATATTTTGTTATATATATTACGGCTGTTGTCGGTGTTTCCATAAACTCTGACCCACTTTATACACTGCACTTAACCTATGCCGCATCATTCAATATAGTATCTAACAGCAAAGAGTTTGCGTTATGTTTGTAACTAGTGCAGGAGTGTAAGGATTGAGATGAAACTGCAAAACATAGGCCTAAGCTGGATGTACAGAGTTGTGTCCCTTGTGCCTGCCAGGATCTACTGGTTCTGGTTGATGCATCTGTTATTTTCGTAACTTAGTGCAGGGGTGTATGGATTGAGATGGGATTGCAACACACAGGTATGATCTAGATGTGCAGAGTTTTGTCCCTTGTGCCTGCCAGGATCTACTGGTTCTGGTTGATTCATCTGTTATTTTCGTAACTTAGTGCAGGGGTGTAAGGATTCAGATGGGATTGCAACACACAGGTATGATCTAGTTGTGTAGAGTTGTGTCCCTTGTGCCTGCCAGGATCTACTGGTTCTGGTTGATACATCTGTTGGGGCGGTCGGGTAGCCTAGTGGTTAAAGCGTTCGTCCATCACACCGAAGACCCGGGTTTGATTCCCAACATTGGTACAATGTGTAAAGCCCATTTCTGGTGTCCCCAGCTGTGATATTGCTGGAATATTGCTAAAAGTGTCGTAAAACCAAACTCACTCACTTGAGGGTCGACCTAGGTCATCATCGTATTGAAGTTACGTCATCAAGTATAGATCCTAAATCAACCTCAGCACACCAGGTTCTTTTGAGCGGAAGGCCCCTAGTTCGATCCCAGGCCGTGTCATACCAAAAGACGTTAAAAGATGGTACTTGTTGTTACCCTGTCTTGCGCTCGGTATTAAGGGGCTAAAACAAGGACTGGTCAGCTCAGAGTGAGTATACTGTGTCTGGGTGGGGTATTCATGCTAAACTGCGGCATGGTATCTCAGTGGGCTTAGCACTATAAATCGTAATACCATACTCACTCATTAACTGATGCATCTGTTATTTTCGTAACTTAGTGCAGGGGTGTAAAGATTGAGATGGGATTGCAACACATAGGTATGATCTAGTTGTGGAGAGTTGTGTCCCTTGTGCCTGCCAGGATCTACTGGTTGCATGCATGTGGGTTTGAATCCCAAGACATTTTCATTGTCCTAAGGGGCCGACCATTTGATATTCTTGTGGGGGGCCTGGGATTTGGTTTTGAGACCAGATATTTTTTCAGCTACAGCTGCTAAACCAGATATGTTTTTAATGAACAGTTTCAGCAATAACATTTTCGTCTGAAAAACACATTGCAACATGAAGCATTATTATTTTTTTCAAGAATTTTCAGGAACAATTTATTTTTTCGATGAAATCCCAGACTCCACCCCGGAATATCAAATGGTCAGCTTCTAATGGCCTAACTCAGGGCTGGGAAAGCTGTCAAACTGTATACCATAATCTTACACAAGTTTACCACTTGAAATGTGCCCTGTGTAGATCCAGGTTAGAATTGGTCTTTAGTAACCCATGCTTGTAGGGTAGCCTAGTGGTTAATGCGTTCGCTCGTCATGAGGAAGGCCCAGGTACGAATCCTGATTGCGTGGATCGATGCTCATGATGTCAATCACTGGATTGTCTGGTCCAGACTTGATTATTTACAGACCGCCATCATATAGCTGGAATATTGCTGAGTGCAGCATTAAACAACAAACAAACAAAACAAGCATTATATCAATCACTGGTTTGTGTGGTCGAGACTGACATGAATGTTACAACAACATACAAACTTTGGAGTTTTAATCTCAGGGTCTGACGAGTTATGATCATTGGTCTACCTGTGCCAGAACCATGTTTCTGGATTTTACCACCGTACCAAGTCTCAACAACTATATTGATCTTACTGATGGACTGATCAAATACACTGAGTAGTTGGGTTTCTGTGCTAACACTAGGTATTTTAAAGAGAATTGGACACTGGAGGCGATTCTGGGTTATTATTGTCAGAACAAGGCGACTCAATGGATCAGGTGGTCAGGCTTGGTGACTTGGTCGCCTGTGTGTCATCGTATTCTGACAGCATGAACTATTGCTTGTAATATCAATCACGTTTGATCCATTCTTGATTTACAGGTGACATTTGTTTGCCTGGAATCCTCTGATTTGAAGCATTGAACAACAAACGAACAAGATAGCTGTGTTCTTATTTCAGTATTGTGGTGTATTTGTGTTGAAGGTGTATTTGTAAGAGGAGTTCTGATGTTATTTTGCATGGTAACTGCAATCGAGTTTCAGCAGATTTTGTATCTTTGATAAAGTTTATCATGATCTTCCTGAACTGTTCGCTCTCCTTACAGACGGTGTCGGACTTTTCCGAGACGAGCAGCGTGAGTGACACTCGTCAGCTGGTGGAGGAGAAGGATGACGGCAAGCCCCGGAGCAACATCCCCATGACCAGCTTCAACTTCATCAACTCCATCATCGGCTCTGGGATTATTGGTAGGTCCTCCCTACTGTCTGTAGAAGTCAGACACAGAGCCCCAAAAACTTGATTTGACCTTGGAAGACGTTATTAGTTCAGAGATACAATGAAATTTGGAAATGACCTTGGAACTAACCTTGGATCTCAATCCAAGAATATCTACATTTACACATTCTTCGAATATAAAGAAAGATCAGTGACATATTTTGACGCCAACATGTTAGAGCTTGATCCAGGATAAGACAATTCGTCTTCAGCAGCCAATGCTTGTCATAAAAGGCAACAAACAGGATCAGGTGGTCAGGCTTACTGACTTAGTTGATGCGTGTCTTCATATCCCAATTGCATGGATTGATCATGATGTAAATCACTAGATTGTCTGTTCAAGACATGATTATTTAAACAACTCCATCATGTAGCTGGACTATTGCTGAGTCTGGTGTTAAACAACAAACAAACAAACAAACAAACACAAATACTGTATTCTTGATATGAGTTTTATCTTGTCATAACTGCATTATTAATTTATCGTGATCTTGATCACCTGACATTTTGTATGACAGTGTATTAGAATTTTAATGCATGTAGCTTGCAATCTTGAGTGAAATTTGACAAAACAGTAACATCAACATTGAATTATATTTGAATTCGTTTGATCAAAACTAAGTCAGGCAATATATAAATAATTTTATCAATTTGTCATATGTATAAGTTTGAAAACATTTGTGAAGACAACCGATATGCCCCATGTTTTGCCGTTGTTCATGATGGTGATTGTGACCTTTCAGGGATGCCGTTTGCACTTCGACAGGCGGGCTTTGGACTGGGAATAATACTGATAGTTGTTGTAGCACTTATCACAGGTGAGTTATAGCATGGTTAGCAGGAAGTACATGGTAGTGTTGGTGAAGGAACTTCTTTGATTTTGGCACCTCAGCTCAAGCCAAATATATGTAAAATTCCTGTAATGCGTTTTTGCATTTTCTTGTTATCCCTTCTCTTACAACATTTGGGGGCACAAGTGGCCCAGTCGTCAAAGGCGCTGCGATTCGCTGTTCAGAGTTGCATCCCTTGGGCACGCCAGAAACCTATGATTGTGGGTTCGAATCCCGGTTCCCCCTGATTATGTTGCTAGGTTTGTCAGCACCATACCCGTGCTCGTGGGTTTCACCGAAGTGGTAAATGTCTGAGACCTGCATCACTTTGGGCTTTCCTCCCACATTAAGCTGACACGCTGCGATTTAACTAGAATACTGTTAAAAGCGGCGTTAAACCTAACTCACTCACCCACTCTTACAACATTTGAAGGAATTAATTTATTTTTTCACGACTTGATATGATGATGATGATGATTTGGAGATTTAATGTGCCCTTTCCAACATTTTGCATTTTTCTTCCACGGCACGAATTAATATGATATGCTACAGAGCTGTCATCTACCTAATGGTGAGCGTGTCAGTCCACAGGGAAATGTTACTAGTCCTTCTTCAAACATTACTAGTCTGTGACTAGCTGATTCATGTTAATTTGGGTCCCTGTATGACCTGTAGGTTCTAATATTCCAAATATTGAAGACATTTAAGTGAGCTACAGACCCTTGTCACTCTAGTTTTTCAATTCTGTATGACACTTATACTACTATACTTTGTACATTTCGGCATATAAGTGTTGTATTACTTATTGGTGTTGGGTTGTATTTGTGCCTAATAGGAGGCAGTCGGGTAGCCTAGTGGTTAAAGCGTTCGCTCATCACGCAGAAGACCCGGGTTCGATTCCCGACATGGGTACATTGTGTGAAGCCCATTTCTGGTGTCCCCCTGCCGTGATATTGCTGGAATATTGCTAAAAGCGGCGTAAAACAATACTCACTCACTCACTGTGCCTAATAGTCGTTACCCAAGAAAGATGGGTAATCCGTTGTTTAAAGAAGCTGTACTTGGCAAGATTGACTGGGTATCCAAAGTTAAAAATGCCTGATATAAATTTGTTTTCGGCTGTATTTGTGAAAACCAATCAGTTTCTTATCCAAAACTATTTACCATATTCGACATAATAAGCGCCCCGGGCACTCTCAAAATTAGAAATAGAGGACTCTTATTAGAATGTTATTTTGGTGAAAAACAACAGAGTTGAAAGATTGTAAATTTCGTGGTTGATGCTAACAGACTGAAATGTTTATATGCAACAGATATATTTTTCCAGAATTTAATTGCCCATAATTGAGGGTGCTTATAACAAACGTATTATGCACGAATAATAAGTCTTGTGTACATTGATCAATCGGAAGGGGTGCTAATTGAGATTGTTCACTAGCCAGCATATTAGCAAATATCGCCGTGGGCGCTTATTAGAGCCGGACGCTTGTTTGAATTAGTATTATGATTAAAATATATTCATGAACAAGAATAAAACTGTTGATAGTCCTAAAATATGTACCTATACCTTATTTAAATTAAATTTCTGTGTTGAACCGTATCTTCTAAATATCAATATTGATAAATGTCTTACTGCACTCTCAGGCTATGGTTGTAGTTTTCTTACACTCCATATTAAAGTGGGTAGATATCACAATGTCCCAAGAGACCAAAGACCTCTGTAACATTGGTCTTATCAAAATCAAATACCATAATCTGTTAATTTGTAAAACATATAAATAACAATCTCAGACATAAATATATTCCAGGAAAATATTATCTCCATCCTGCATTGAATAAGTGTAACATATTGTTGTCATCTTGCCATGCTGAAAGTATTTTTGTTTTGTTTTGTTTGTTTGTTGTTTAACGCCACACTCAGCAATATTCCTGCTATATGATGGCGGTCTGTAAAATAATCAAGTCTGAACCAGACAATCCAGTGATTAACATCATGAGCATCGATCCACGCAATTGGGATAGATGACATTTATCAACAAAGTCAGCAAGTCTCACAACCCAATCTCGTTAGTCGCCTTTTACGACAAGCATAGTCGCCTTTTACGGCAAGCATGGGTTGCTGAAGACCTATTCTACCCCGGCTCTTCACGGGTCGCTGAAAGTATGAAAAAAATTTCATTATGTATTCCATGCCATGAATGGAATAAGCTCTTTAATGTCCATTGTGGGCCTGACTATCTTATGTACAATGGGCTGAGTGACTACAGTGTGAAATGAATAAAGAATTGAAGGAATACTAATATAAATGTTATGGTGTAAGGACCATTATTGCTTTAATTCAGAACTCTGATTCTGTTCAACATGGTGAAGGACCCGTGAAGATCTGGGGTAGAATAGGTCTTCAGAAACCCATGCTTGCTGTAAATTGCGTCTATGCTTGTCGTAAGAGGCGACTAATGGGATCGGGTGGTCAGGCTCGCTGACTTGGATGGTGCATGTCATCGATCCCAATTGCGTGGATCCATGCTCATGATGTCAATCACTGGATTGTCTGGTCCAGATTCGATTATTTACAAACTGCTGTCATATAGCTGGAATGATGCTGAGTATGGCGGTAAACAACAAACAAAGAACATGGTGAAGTTCTACTCAACATATGTCTCCCCTGACAGTGGGTTTTGAGTGCCGTATTTTCTTGAGTATAGTGCGCACTTTTTTTCGAAAAAACACAGCTGTGTAGAAGGGGGTGCGCATTATACACGAATTATGACTTTGGATGTTTTTTTCCCCCATGGAAAGACATTACCGTGAGCACGAAACACCGCAAATACCATGTCAACAAATCCATACTGAAGTACGCAAAATAATTATGTATTACACTGTCTGGCTATAAAAAGTGTTCTTTGTATATCTGGACTTCTGTTTGTAACTTATTTCATTGATCTTATTCAAAATTCCTTATAATATTGTTTTTATTAATTTTGGCGAAATCGTGTGTGAAGCGATCGGAAGATCGCACAACTCACCGTTATTAACAGCAACCACGGTCAGAATACCGCTATTGACGCCTTGAAACAAACTTTAGTTGACAGAGAATGGATACATATATCATAAATGACATACTTTGACTCGTTAAAAGTCATATTTGTTTTTGTTTGACGATTCTATGTCAACATGATATTCTCGCGATCACGTGATCACGTGCGCGTGAGCCTTGACGGTGACTGGTCAGACATGTTCCATGTAAAAAATAATACCCGGGAATAGCGATCAGCTGCTTTGCTTAGGGTTATTATTATTTTAAATATATTTAGTAAAGGTTGCATATAATTAAGAAAATAATGGAATATATTATTCCTGATAAATAAAATAGTTTCAGATACAATTGTTGCCGATCCTTGCATTAAAAATCTTATAAAGTTATATCATTGGGTGTGTCTTGACCGAATCACCGGTCGATTCCAAGAAAACGTGTGTACAGCTGATTGCTGTTTCCAGCTTAGTTTACGAGAAAATACGCAAGGTAATCTTAATCCCTAAATATAAAACAATGCCTAGCAGAACAATAAATACTATTTAAACGGTAAATAAACATGTCTGGTGATTTTTTATCTCAAATTTCGAATCTGTACTGACAAAGTTTCTCAGCACCCGTTCGTTTGCCGGACTTCGCTGAAAGGGTACGGTGTAAAAATTTTCTGCGCATAATATTCAAATTTCTTTTTTTCCAAAATATTGAACCCGCTAGAGGGGGGTGCGCATTATACATGGGTGTGCACTATACTCAAGAAAATACGGTATCACATTGTAGTTGCCAGAGACAGAAATAATGAATGGGTCAATACAGTGTGTGATAAAAAAAATGGTTGTGATTGTGCAAGTTTGGTTGCTCATGCTGTCAACCACTGGTTTTCCTGTCTGGACTAGATTATATTACAGGATTTTGAGATATTGCTGAAATACTGCCGACTGCAGTGTTTATAAAGTCACTCACTCACTCACTCACATTGGTGGTATCGTCAGGCGAACGTTGAGCCAGCTTTGACCACCCATGTTCATGAAGAGTACCTGGGTTCTCAATCCAATCAGGGCAGTCAGTTAGCCTAGTGGTTAAAGTGTTCGCTCGTCACACTGAAGACCCAGATTGGATTCCCGACATGGGTACAATGTGTGAAGCCCATTTCTGGTGTCCCCCGCCGTGATATTGCTGGAATATTGCTAAAAGCGGCGTTAAACCATTCTCATTCACTCTTAATCCAATCATAGGTTAGCTTTCTAATGTGAATCAGCTTCATTTGTTTATCAACTCGATTTGGAAAGTTTGGTCCTTGTAGAAGGTAACCCACAAAGAACTCGAATGTTCACCCTTTTGAATGAAGACGCCATGACTCCAGAAACAAAAGGATGTACAAATATCCACACAAGAAAATAGCGCTGCTTTATTACTTTGCATTTGGAACTCCCCAATCATATTAGTTTACTGTGCAACTTCCTGTATAATGGAGTCAGCCTGTACAACTTTCGTTTAAAATTACTATAAAACAGAATCTTGTGTCATCTTGTCACAAGTTCCTGTCACATACATCATGGCTAAGTGCATTCTAAACTAATGTAAAATCAATGACGTGATACAGCTCCCTGCATGATTTTCCAAAAATCTTGGACATTCTAGCAACCCAGATCTTTCACTGACGATGCATAAAGAATTTAATTAAACACTGATTTACTTTCAATTTTAGTTTTAATGGAAGCCCTTGGATCAGAAACTAATCAGTTTGTGCAAACCTCAGTCCAGTTAGGTGTGTTAAGCAGTGTCTCTAATTGAATTTCATTGTTCTTCATTCCAAAGATTGTGAACAGGCAATTTTAGTGATTGTTGATCTTGCCTAAATCAACATGCATGCACTCATTTTACAGAACTAATATTGGCAAGTTCAGGTTACTGGATGCGAGTGTTGTTTATTACAGCTGACAGCAATATCCCAGCT